AACTACCTAATTATACCTATGCTATAAAGAAGGCGCCATAAACTCACTCACTCACTCACTAATACAAACGGGGCTTTAAGTATTTTAAGTTGCCAGCTAGCATAAAGAGAAAATTTCGCATTACGGGTAGTCACGATGAAAGAAAATAAAAAAAATAATTTATTAATTTTTAGAGGTCGAAAATCTTGGCAGCCTTTGGAAAGGAATTTAAGCAGCTTAACTACGCTTATTATTTAAGTAGGGGTAGTCCCAAAGGTAACAAACACAAAAACATATTAAATGCATTTTCAGGTTTTTCGGTTCGGCGCTGAAAGAGTTCAAAAATATATATTTTTGAACCAAATGAGTGCCCCATTTTATTAGGGGTAGTCCCAAAGTAAGCAAAGATTTTAATATTAATTGCATTTTCAAGTCAAATAAGATGCACAAAAATAAATTTTTGAGCATGTTGACTACCCCTAATATGCTATTGGGGTAGTCACAACTTGAACAAAAACATTTAAATACAAAATAATTTGAACATTTAGTTTTCAGTTTGAACTTAAACACTCAAGATTGCACAAAAAATGATTTTTTCAGCATTATGACTACCCCTACTATTTTTTAGGGGTATTCAAACGCTGATAAGTACTTCAAAAATATAGAAATTGTATTTTAATGCGCTCAAGATTAGGATTAAAGACAAAAATTCTTGCCACTAAGACTACCCCTACTAATTGATTTAGGTGTAATATTATGACTACCCCTGCTAGTAGGAGGCTTAGTAAGCTGTAATTGCATTGGATAAACAATCGACTTAGCCCAAGAATAAAGGGATTTTTGCCATCTTGACTACCCCTGCTGCATCTATATAAATAACATATGTACTTAATCAGGCCACAATCACTACAACTTTACAAAAAAAAAAAAAAAGCGAAAAGGAAAAAAAAGAACGCAGAGATACATTTATATACATATATCATATATACATACATTATATATATATATATATATATTATATCATAGCTATTTATTGTTTATTTTTTTGGTTATTTGTTTGGGTTTTTTGGGCCCGGAAATAAAGAGGAGAACGAAACGAAAGGATAAAGAAAAACATAAATGATAAATTGTATGCTAAATGTTAAATGTTTGCTTATTCAAACACTTTATTGCCAATTATAAGTTACAAAATGTTTAAATTAATTGTTAGTTAGCTAAAGTTATACATTTACTAAACAAATGAAAAATGAAAAAAAAGGACAACAACAGCCACGAATAAGAAGAAGCAGAACAACTCGAACCACTGACTATAAACGGTTTTTCGCAAGTAGACAAATGTTAAACATACAATTTTGTTGCCATTTTTGCCTAAATCAACTATGTTACAAAACGAAAAAAAAAAACGACGACGAAGCGTAAAAAATTCCACAAAAAAAAATATATATATATATTATAGTACATATATATATATATATATTTATCAGAGATATTATATAAGAAACGGGCGCAGCGAATGCAAGTTTTATGAAGCTATTTAACAAAATGAATCAACTAATAAACGCATAAAATTATATACATACATACACACATTATTAAATACATTATACGCCAGAGGAAAGCACCGGAAACGGAAGCGGAAGAGCATTAGGAAAGGCACGCCTGAAAGTATGCAACAGACTTTTTGCGCGCTTTTTTTCTCATATATAGCTAAATTTTTGCATCGAAAAAAAAACACACACACACGAGTATTTTATTTCAATAACATTCCTTCATTGCCTTTTTAGTCGCATTCATCAAACATAACAAATAAATAATATTATTAACGACAAAAAACTAAAAACAAAAAGAAAAAAAAAACGAAACATAAATCAACTAATTGTATTGCATTATTATGTATTTCGTATTATTATTCCAATTATCCAAGCGTAGTAATCACCATGGCTATACTTTAATCACCCCCGCCCCCTGCAGCCCTACCCTCTCAACACTCAACACTCCCCGTGCTCCTTACCCCGCTCCTTGCTATTAAACAAGATCTCAACATATACATATACATACCATATATACAATATCATATATGATGATTCGTCGACTTCGACGCCGAATACAGACTAATTATTTTTTATAATATAAACAAATCGACAGCTGGTTTTATTGCATTTCGGGTTGTGGGCTATGGCAAGGGGAATTGCGGGACCTCAGTTGGCCAAATAAAGTTGACGTTTTATAGATAGAGACATGTGCGCTGTCCGTGCCCACATATATCAAAGTGCCTGCCCGCCCCCTTGACTCTGCGCGGTAAGTGCCTGCTGAGGAAGGGTGTGCGCAGTGTGAGGGACGAGGGCGCAAAAGTTAAACAATAAAAGAGGCAGGCAAGAGTACAGATTTTGTATTTGCCAGCGCCGAAACTCTAAATACTCTCGAAAGTACGTTTTTAAACGAGTTGTTTTTACGCGAACCAAAAAACAAGCATATAAATATGCAAATGTCGCAAACAAACTTAAATCGAAAAATTCTTTTCTATTTCTATACAGATTCGTATGCCAATAATACCCTAACCCAAAGTTGTCTCGAACTTATACTCGGGTAGAGCAGTCCGTCTCTCACCCCGAGGTTGAGTTGGTCAGCTGAATTATCTTGCATCCTGCAGACGGCACTTGAAGACTTTATGAACATACGACAAGATATATATTTATATACGCTTTTATGCTTTTAGTATTAAAACCCAGTCAAGAGGATTTTCTCTTTTATAAAATCAAGAAAACTCTGGACTTGAAACCCCTGCGAAATGTTTCTTTAAGGAGCGCGTCATAAGGGAATCCTTTTAAGGTTCACTATATTCATTCAATTATATTTCTATTCTTTTTTATTTTAAATTACATTTTTATTCTATTTCTATATTTCAATTCTATTTCTATTCTATTCCAATTGTGAATTGTCGCTTTTCTTGCTATTCCTCTTTTCTTTTCCATTCTTAGCTATATTTTCTTTCTGTTCTAATCATATTTGTTATATTCTCCAAGTTCATCCTGGTTATATTCATTTCTTCCTATACTTCTTTTCTTTTGCTCGAATCTTTCCACATAGTTTTCCAACCCCTGCTGAGTTAGGGTATAGAGCAATAAAATGTGTTGGCACCTTCTGGCAAATGCCGCGCTACAATGCGACTACTCGTCTAAGTAGAGCTCCCACTCCACGCCCACCCACACACACACACACACACACCAATCTACAACCCCCGCCCCACACCCCTCGCTGGCATCAGCTCAGCCGCCGCCCCGCAGCGATTTTTCTTGTTCTGCTGGCTTTGCCTTTTGTCTGCCGCCCTTTTCGTGTCGCGCTGCGTCCTGGCAAACGTCGCCATTTCTTTTTGTGCTTTTACAACCCTCTTATCACGAAAACTTTAAATTTTCGCATTTTCGCAATTCGCAGTCACAAATGCAAATGCCGCCCCGTCCCGCCCCGCCCACGTCAAGGAGGTGGCCGCCTCCTTCAAAGTCTGTTGGCCATATGTTGCCAATTGAGGCGAAAATCGAAAACGCGTCTCTATGCGGATTGTTTATGACCCTCGAGCTTGGGCCAAGGGAGTAGGCGGCGCAGCAAAGGAGCATAGAGCCTTTGGCAGGACTTTCCTTTGGACCAACGATCAAGGGGAATGGGCTGCCTAGCTTGGAGCCTGCTGGACCTGTCGCCTTTTAATTATGGCTCGCAAATTATTTTCGAATTTTTCATCAAGCTGCGGAAATAAATGTTGACTGCAATTTCCCTGCCAACAGGATGCAAAGGATTCGAACCATATTTCTGCCTCTGTTTTTATTTTTGCCCACCTATTTTCCATTTACTGCTTTTTTTAATTTTCCCTTTTTTTTTTTTTAACCAGGTGCCGTCCAGTGCTCTGGCGTGACCTAAAAAAAAATATATTCACACTCACTTCACTTGTCAAGTTGAATAAAGCGACAGGGCAGAACGGGAAACGCGCGGTCCGGAAAGGGCCCAGATATAAATATGTAAATGTAAATAAATATATATATACATATGACTATATATACATATAAATATATGCATATGTCTGTGTGTTTATACTCATTAAAATATGTCGCACTTGCAATTAGAGTGTGTCATTTGGCAGCAAAGCGGTTAATCCAGACATTCAGATATTGTTAACAAGCCCGCATCCAGCCACATTCCACAAATGTTATATATATTAATATATACCACACACACACACACACACACACATTTAAGGTGCAGTTGAATTCTTTAATTAGTGCCAACAAAATTACAATTTTTTGCTGGTTCAACTCTCGCCGAGCCCAATTAGCTCTTCACAGCATATGTAAAAATTCCAATTAGACTTGCAAATTTTTTGCCCACTAAAAACAGAAATTGAAACTCGAAAAGAGACGGCAGTAGAGCTGGCTATATGCTATAGTAATTCGATTTGCGTTGACTACTAAACCTCGTACAAATCGAGTGAGAATTGTCGAACTAACACTATTTCGACATCGATTTTTATCGATTGCAAGTTATCGATTTCGGAACTCGTACTGCCGGGCACTAGAGGGAACTACGTTTACGTTTCTGAACTTGACGCGGATACAGAGAATGATGGTGAGACAGACGAATGGGCAGACGGACAGATAGATAGATGGATCAACAGACGGATAGATGGACAGACGGACGGACAGAAAGACAGTCGAATGGACGGATGCACAGACGGATAGATAAACGGATTGATAAGCACACGGATGGATGGACGGACGGACAGACAGATAGATAGACGGATGGATGGATAGACGAGCATGGCTAGCTCGCCTCGACTACTGATGCTAACTGAAAAATAAATACAAATAGTACTTTATGGGATCGCAGATGCTTCCACAAAACCTATATACCCTCTTTAACTAAAGCGTCAGGGTATCCTCCAGGCTTGCCATGTAGAATGTTTACCCTACACCTCCAAAAAGAAGAGGGAACATTGAAAATCCGTATACGAGCATTTTGTGTTTGTAGATCTGAATCTCGCTACCTTCCAGATATTGATCAGATCGAAATCGAGTTATTCAAAATTATTTGTTTAGCTCTCTCGTGATGAGCGAACCCATATCGAGCCGCGGGGTGCGCTTCATATACAATGCGCTCCTGCTGACGACATCCGGCCTGACGGCCAGAAAGTTGATGCCGCAGGAGCATCCTTTCGCCCTTGCCGCCTGCGTGGTGGGCGGCCTGGCCGCAGTGTTTGGTCTGTTGCGTGCCTTCCTGGACGACGGCAGCAGAAGAGGAGGAGGAGGAGGAGGCCGCGCCAGCAACAGCAGCAGCGACGGTAGCGAATTTCGCATGCTGCGCAATGTTACCCAGAGCATGTTGGAGCTGATGCCCCTGGCATTGGTTAACATGGAGCTGTATGCGCATTCGCTGGGCCTGGGCGCCGTTGCGCTGGCCCATGGCATCTTTGTGCTGCCGCTGCTGCTCGATCTGAGGTGCTCCGTGGTAAAGAATCGCAAGGATTGCGATCTGACCGAAACGTTGCGAGATCTTTTGGTATTGGGCAACATTGTATCGCTGGGCTTTCTGGCCGCCAAGGAGCGTAATCTGCTCTATTTACGCATGACCCTCACCATGTTGGTGGTCAAGTATTATCCGGTGCTGATGGACAGTGCACAGGAGGAGACCGGCGAGGATTTGATTGTCTGCGGCAATGCCTACTTTCTGCATGTGCTCGGCAAGGTGGCTGCCCAATGGGCGCTTCAGTAGAAAGCCGCGTCGCATCCACGCCCCCACCCCCCCTGTTCACTTCCAAAACACACACCCCGCCTCCAATTCGCACAACCCACAAGGATTTTGGGTTTCGAGCGTCATTTCAATTCCATGAATTTGTCTGGTCTTGTATTAAATTACCTTAAAGCACCTTTTCAATTGCTGTTCATGTTTTTCTAATTGCCCCTCGCACTCGAATGACCCCAGGCCCAGCTCGATGCACTTCTATGGCTTGCCTGGTGTGTCATGCATCGGGAATATGCATTAATCGACCTACAGCTGTTCGTCCTAACGAACGATGGACTGACAGACTGACAGACGGATTGATGAGCAACGCACAGCTCAGGCTTTAAAAACCGTTTGCCCTGTTGTTTTATTAGCGAAAGAGATTTACAGTATTCCACGAGCAAGTGTGGAAAATTGGTGAAAATTGGTGAAGTTTCAATAAAACATTCATATAAATATCTTATCCTTTGTTATTAAATATTTGAGCATTTATGTGCGCGTATGTGTCTACATATGTGTATATGTATTCATCTGTGAACATATGCATGTGTGTATTCCTCTGTGTACATATGCATGTGTGTGTATTCTTGCGTGTATATTTACACGCCCGTTAGAAATGCACAACATATTTACCTTTCGCAGCGTTCGCCAATATATTAAATTGCCCCTCTATGCAATTCTCATGAGCTTCTTATGTATATGAGCATATATGTGCGCTTATGTGTGCACATATGTTTGCATGTTTTTGTATGCATGCACGCATGTATGTATTTTGTGCATGTATATATATATGTATGCATCTATGTATATATTTTGCGTACATACTTAGGTACGTATAAAACGTAGCGCAAGCTTAACTCCAGCTGCGCTTGATTAAAAACCAACGTATTTTGACATATTACCCTTCTAAGCGATTCTCATGAAATCAAATGGGTTCTTCAGGCTTGAGTGCTTTAATTAAAAGCACTCTCACTTTAATTTACTGACTAGAACTCGCTTCTCTTTCTCTCACTTTCACTCTCTCTTCGCTCTCTTCTTTTATTCCTAGCCCGCTTGGGACCTCATTTGTTCTCTAAAACGCTGCATTTCTCCTACTTACAGACGACAATTAAGTCTAAGAAGTTTAAATTTATAGAAAATACTTTTGACTTCAACTCAATTACGCACAACTTCAGCTAACCCTTCGAAACGCGACTCATATTTGTAAACATTTTGGAATTTGTGAATATATATATATTTATATTGGAGCACCTTTTTTTTACTGCATTGTATTGGCATTTACTAAAAGGGCCGTTTAATCTAAAACCCAGATTCCTAAAGAGCTTTTCGTGTCATTCCAGTGGCAGTTCCAGTTGCCCCCCAGTCCGGGACAAACAAGGCTCAGCGCACGCTGCTTTCATGGATAACGATGCGGATATGCAATGGCAACACTTGAGCATGCCAAGCACGCGCCACGCCCCCAACTCCATAAAGAAAAATAATAATTCAACTTTATTTGTGCCACATACCTAGGCATGTGTGGGTGTGTAGGTGGAAGGAGGCTGTGTGTTGTGTGTGTGAAGGGAGGGGTGGCGGTAAGGATTGTGACTCCACATAGTTGTAGCTGGCAGCTCGGGCAGCTGTTCCTTGTCAACACCCAGCAGGAGCAGAGACAGCAACAGCAACAACAACAACAACAAACAGAAGCCATGGCAAATTTAATCGAAAGCGTGTAATTGACCTCAGCAAATGGCGTCGTGGAGCAGTTTTTGGGCTGGGTGGAGCGTGTTATACCTACTTCTAGGTTGGGAGTGGGGCTGGGGGGGGCATGGCTTTGTCGAAAGCTTAGCCAGCTGCCATCAAATCATTATCAGTTAAATAAACGACAGCGCCAAGTTAAAAAGATAACGAAGTCGTTCTCGCTGCCGTCGCCACACGGCGGCAACAACAACAACAACAACAACAACTACAACAACAGCAGCAGCAACAGATGATATCTGCTCAGCAATGCGCCAGTGCCCGCCCCGCCCAGCTCTAGCCCCAACTGCCCCCCCTTTGCCGCACAATAGACAGACGTAAGCCGCCTCGTTTTATGCTAATTCAAATGGAAATGGAGCCAGTCAGCAGCTGCTCCTGCTGCTCAGCGCCTAGAGCTGAGCGCGTGTCGTGTTCGCATTCGTGACGCGTTGCAACACGACGTGTTTAAAAAGGCTCGTGAATAGCTTCAAAAGGTTGCAAAGAAAACCAATTTAAGTAACCCAAGGTTGGAAAAGTATAAATAATGAAACAAACAATTTAAATTAAACTAAGAAGAAACGAAAATGTTTATAAATATATATATATATATAAAATAAACTGAAATTCTTGATCTTAAATCCATTTAAGTAAGTTTTTAGGTTCAAAATTTAAAAATAAATTGGAATAACAAGTTTGAATTTCAGTTTCTAACGCAAATATTAAATTCTAAATATCAAGAAAGAAATATACTTTTGTTTGAATATTAAAATATTTTCAATTTTTATAATATTTTAAATTTAAAAAAAAAACAAAGCATTTATATTATTTAACATTTTTTCAAATGTTAGTCTTATTTTTTTAAGTTTAAAAATTTTCTAAATTTATAAAAAATATTTTAAGCTTTTTAAAAATATTTTTAATTTATAAAAAAATTTCTCAAATTTTAAAGGGCATCCAAAAACGCATTTAAAAATTGTAAAAAACATATTTCGCTTTATATATTTATACATATATATTTTGGGATATATTTTGAAGTCAAAGTCAAAGTTGGTTTTGGGTTCGTGCCGTGTCGTGTTTTGTGTGCTGTTAGGTGCCATCTCTTTGGCTGTGGCTTGGCAGCGTTGTCAACGACCGTTTTGCCGTTTCATTATATGCGACTGGGCGTGGCAGCTGGGCGCCTTGATCGGCCCGCACCGATAACAGAGCCCAGGCACAAGACGGACGAGGCGAACGGGGCATACGAGGCGTATGCGTACGCAGTATGCAGATGCGTATATGTGTGTGTGAGTATTAAAGGAGCTGCGACTCGGCATTCCTTGCAAGGCAAATTCGCCATGATTTTCATATAATTTCCGCATCATAAAGCTGCGAAAGTAATTTTCCACTTGAAAGCACAGGAGGCATAGCCAGAACCAGAACCAGAAACTGTTGATGGCAGGGACAGGTGGGGTAGGGGGCAGCCAGCCAAAGACTCAACTTTAACACGACTACTTTGTGTGCGCGTGTGTGCGAGTGTGTGTGTGAGCGGGCGGGCGGGAGTGTTGTACTTTGGGGCTTGTTTTTGTTGCCACATTTTGGAACATTTTGTGTTGTCACCTTTTTTTCCCGTTGTTGCGTGAGGGGGGGGGAGCACATGCAAATAAGAGCAAAAATCAAGCCGAGATTTCTCAGCACATTAAATCGACAGCCGGAGAGCTCTTTAAGGAGCGCGCATAAGATTAGGCTAAGCAGCTGGGCGCACACACACACACACACACAGGGACAACAGGGAGTGGCCGACACACAACAAATTTCATTATGCCGCTCACGTGCGAGACAACCAAATTCGCTGGGAAATAAAGAAGAAAGCAAAGTCGGAAAATGGAAAGGGAAAAAAGAAAGCCAGAATACAGAGCGACAGCAGCAGGAATAAAGCATATCGGAAGGAAGCGGCAATGGCAAAACGTACAAAAGCGAAACACGCACAAAACTCAACGGAGGCGCCACCGGGCGAGGCGCCACAGCCACAGCCAGCACATCCACACACATCCAGCAGGAAGTCAGTCAATGCCCGCCAGCAAAAAAACAAAAAAAAACAAAAAAAAAGGGCCAACAACAAACGACAAAGTAAACAAAACAAGCCAAAAACTGCCGCTGCCACACCCTCTGCCGCCTCTGCCTTCGGGCTGTGCCCCAACCTGAAGAAGACTATAAAAATGCCCTGCACCAATTTCGGAGATAATTGAACAGGTGTAACAACAACAACAACAACAACAACAGGGACACAAATCCAGGCACAAATGAGCATCCTTTCTGCTGACAATATCCGACTAAATACTCAAACCACACAAACCCTCCTCCCCCCCCCCCCTTACCACTCCTAGCCCGCATAGCACTAAAATTGGCCTATTTATAGTTCCCTTATGATTTAGTATGCGGCCATAAAATGTTTAAATAGTTTTAAGGGTTGCTTTTTCGTATCTCTGATTCTCAGCGGATATGCTTTATGGCCACAAAAGTTTGCTTAGTACCTTCAATTAGAGCTGCATTCTAACTAATATATGATTTATCGAAGTTAATTTACGTATTCAAGCAGATAGACATGAACTATCTAATTATATCCTATAGGAACTCGAAGACGACTTAAACGATTTAGATGTAAAAAGCTCTTAGGTTTCTAGGCAAAACAAAATAATTCTTGATAAATTTTGAAAAAAGAAAAAACTAATCTGGACAGATTTCCTCTGAAAGAGGAAAGAGAGATATAGAACGAATCTTGACAGCCTTAGAAAGGGGTTTCCTCTAGAAAATCTTAACAGAAGATAGATAAACGTTTCTTTAAGAAATTTACAAAGATTCCTTCGTATATTATTCTGAAAAACTCTCTTTAGAACTTTTTCAAAGGAGAATGCTTTAGAAAACTTTATTAATTTTTGTGTTTTCTATAAAAATATTTAAAAAATCATTTCTATATGAACAATGTTGGTTTTTCTGAGATAATCTTTTTCTCTGCTCTTGAAAAGTTCGTCTCGTTTCTAATTTAAGCAAAACGTAAAGAACATTGAAGAGATTTTCTAAAGCCTGGAGCTTCCCTCCCTTGAATTTGTATTATGTTCTATAATTCGAATTCTTGTTCCTTAGCTGAAACAGAGCATTAAGAAAGTTAAAGGAGTTTCTCTTAAGTACACTTCCAATTGCGAAAACTGAAGCCCAGTTTAAAGCACTTTTAGGAACTCAAAACTCTTTTAATCCCTAAGTTCCCCAAGGTAAATACTCTCCACTCTCAAGGTGGGGCAGAAAAAAAAAAACAGGATAACTTAAAGTAAGAAATGAAATAAAGTTTATCAGATATTTAATGATATTTCATACTTCCCATGTTTATCAAGAACCCAAAATACCCCCTATGCAAAAAAGAAAAGAAAAAAAAAAAAGAACTTGTAGAAAAATTTAAATATATT